GTCTTCACACTATTGCTCCATTATATCACCAACCTAAAATGCTCCTCCTCCCTAGAAAAACATGATCTCACCATTTACATTATCATTGTCCAGCTCCTTCATGCAGGCTTTCTTAGCAAATACAACTTAAAACAATTCCCTTTAAAATAAAACACAGTAATCACTTGTGGAGTTCATTAATCCATTAATATCCATAAAATGTTCCTTTATTTACTATTTATGTACTAGGTTAAACTACCTTACCCTTAGCTAGTATTAAACAGCATACTAGAACTGTTGAAATGTGCTAGTTCAGTAATGATACCCTAAAAGATACAAATAAAAGCTTAAAACTGTTTTGGGTTCCAGGAAACAAACATTATCTTGAATAAATTTAACCAGCATTTTGTTGTTGATATTGTTGCATGTGGTACTTTTCAGAGTCTTTAATATAATAATGGGCATGTTGAGAATCTCTGTAAGAGGAAAAAATAATAGGCAGTGCTTCCCATTATGGATTTGCCCTTTATAAGAGCACACCTATTTACATCTATCCCAACAGCATTCTTCCAACATACTCTGTGAACTGCTGAGCTAATACAATTGCTACTCGATTCTGTCATCTGGACAGCACTGGGTAGAAACCATATTTTCTACTGGGCTGAGGGAATAAATTTGCTTTGTTTTAAGACACCATCAGTTGGTAGACACTCTTACCATAGTAGGGAAAAATGCATATTAAATGTAGTCATGAATATTTAAGATCTGAGTTTCTGAAATTGGAAAATGCTAAAATAAGAAAAAATGATTATTAGAACTGAGCTACTGCCGTATTAACCAGCATTTTTGTTTAAAAGCACCTTCTAGGAAAGTTGGAGTCTGGTTCCAGGAATGGGCCTTGACTCTCTGTGACCTAGGAATAAGAAGTCCAGACAACCAAAGAGAAATCAAGTACCTTAATGGGGTGATTATCTCACAACAGATTTATTAAAGAAAGTAAAGCTATCAGAGAATCATTGCTAAGAAAAACAAATCACAATGATAAGGAAAACTGCTTGGCTCACCTTGGAAAAAATCCCCACAGCCAAAAATAGGGAAACACCCAAAATATACACATCAAGTTATGGGAAGGGATTTTAAAACAGAAATGTCCCCTAATTATGTTAAGTGGGAGAAAGCATTTAAACAAACCACCGTTTCAAAAGAATTACAGCCCAAAGGCTGTTTTTACCTAGCGCTGATTACTGCCAGGAAGGCAGATTTGGGTTTTGAGTTTTATCTACTAAAACACTAAGTGGTACACTTGAGTTTTTGAATAGGTTTCTGATTTACTGATAGGTTTCTCTAGTGCTAATCATTTTAACACTAAAACAAAGCACAAATGGAAAGCTGAGATAAAGTATGATGGTCTGCTAAGATTCCACTTTGCACAGCAACACAAGACCTAGTTACAAGTACTGAAGGACCTCCTCAGACACCTCATCCATGGGGGTACTTCATGACATAAATTTTATTTCTATCTTAGGATGGTATCTCAGGAATCCTCCCAGTTCAAGCAGGTACCTGAAGTCTCTGATGCAAAGAATTTAAAATTTAAAGCACAGCATGGTTTAGAGACAAAGAGAAGTATTTAAGATTGGGTTGAATCCAAATAGTGCTTACTCATAACATAATTCATCCACGACACACCCTTGATACTACACAGCTGCCCCAGAAAGCTGGCTTTCCTTGCCTTTGGAGAGTAAGGGTCTCAGCCGTTGCCAATGCCACCATCCTCCAGAAGGCCTGGAAGGTCACTGTGAGAGAACATGTCGTGCAGTGTACCTCACACCCCTTAGAAGCCCCGAGTAAGCTGTCCATTCAGAAAAGACGCCACCGAAAATACATTTCAAATTTGCTCCAATGTGATTTTACCTGTCCTCAAACAATATTGTTCAAGCTGTCAGAGCTGTATGCAATCTCCTTTGCAATGTGTCTGAGAAATTCAAGAAAGGAAGGGTAATTGTTGGATCTACATAGATAGATGAATAGATCAACTGATAGATAGAAGAGAAGAACCTATCTTTTTGTAAAATTTTTTTATTTGAAGAGTAATCAGAATCATTAAAACTGGACAATGGCAAGTGAAACTATTGGAATATAAAATGATTAAAACAACTTCCTAGAACACTTGTAAGTGTTCTCTCCACACAGGAAGCACTAAAATAATGACATTTCAGAACAAACTTCACTTTTTCTCTCTCATCCTGTAAGTTAATGATGCGACACACATGATCTCCAGACTAGCAGCATTAGAATCATCTGAAATTAGTTAGTAATGTAAACTGTTGGTCCACCTCTCTAGACCTCGTCAATCAGTCTCTGAGGAGACAGTCCAACAATCTGTGGTTTAAGAAGCCCTCCAGGAGATTTGATGCTCACGTTGAGAACCACTGCCCAAGGATCAAGGAAAATGCACACTTGGGGTGACACAGGAGCCTACTTAAACCCTGACTGAGTGACAGAAAATTTCCCCTATCGCTGCCTCTGATTGGCATTGGCATTTAATCTCAAAGACTAATTTCTCCAGTGAGAGTTTTGAGTCCTTAGTTGAAAGGCATGATGACAAGTCTAGTTAAGGGCTCCATCCTAGGGCCTGAGGACTTCTTCATCAACCCTGGATCCCAGACAAAGGTTTTGCTGACAGGAAATGCTGGAGCCTAGGATTGTGAATGTTGATAAGGCAACCCAGTGGGTCTCCTAATCTATACCACACTGCCTCCCTGGAGAGATAAGAGAACTGAAGTTCCAAGCCTTCAAACTGAATCAAGAGAGATGGAATTCAAGAAAGGGTTGAAGAGAAGGGAGCAAATGGCTTCTTGCAAAGAGCTGGGTCATTAAATTTCCTGGTACTTAGCCGGGAAGAGGCTCAGGTGTTTTGTTAAAATTAAGAATTAATTAACTCAGCAAGATGAGTAAAAAACATAGAGACAGATAATCCCTAAATCATGAATGGTGCTTTAAAGTTTTCTTAGCACTTTATATATCCATTATTGCATTCAAATCTCACAATCTTGTAATGGAGAGGGATAAGGACATAATTATCCCCATTTGACAGAAGAGAAAACGGAGGTTGAACGTGGCTAACAATTTGTTTATAAGCTCTGTCATCAGCTGTAAAGCTCCAACTTGACTTCATATCTCTCTGACTCTGGAACCTGTGTTGCATACCCACACTACGTGATTCCTGTACCTAGGAATCTGTCCCAAAATGGATAGACCCTAAAGAAAAAAACAAAGAGAAAAACATTCAGCAGCAATGGTGGGCTCCTAAAACATGGAGCAGCGTGAGTGTGAGCCTTTAAGAATTTAACACACAAACCCAATAGCCAAGGTGTTCAGCTAGAAAAGGGGAAAAGAGAGACAGAGACATATTTCTAGCCTGCATAATCATTTCTGGACAGATTCCCACTAGGAGCCTCGGAGAGAACAGCGGCTCCCTGCCTAGGCAGATGCTTCCCCCGCCCCCTGCCCCGAGTTATGACAGCGCAGCTCTGGCTCGTGCTCAGGCAAAACCCCAAAACTCAAAAGAAGAAGTGAAAAAAGTGGAGCCCCGGAGAAACCGTAGGCATCTTCCACACCCTCGCAGTCAGCACAATGCCAGTTCAGAGGCCGGGCTGGCCCAGCATGATAATTTAACGACAGGATGGAATGAGAGAGTGTCCTGGGGACTTGCCCGCACTATGATTTCCCACCCGATCCCAGAGGGAAAGATAACAGAAAAGGGAGATGGCTCATTATTAAGTCCTGGGCCAGAATCAAAGGCAGATACTCCCCAAGCACCTTCTCAGTCTAAACTCTCCACCTGACCTTCAGGCCCAGGGCTGGGCGATGGAGAGCGGGGTGGGCTGGTGGGTTCATGAGAGTGTTACAAACCCGAGAAAGCCAGGAGAAAAAATGGGGCCGCCCATTACTCCAGCCACGCTGCCCCACCTTGTGTGAGAAGCTCCATTGGAGAGCGAGAGCGCACAGCAAGAGCGAATTCGCAACCCGGCGCCCTTGACCGTGTCTGAGGTTGGGGAGGGGGCAAGGCCCAATACCAAACGCCCTAGGGGCAGGGATCTGTCCGCCGCGGAGCCCGCCTCAGTTTGGCAGCAATGACTCTCCTAGAAGATGTCAGGTTTCACAAAGATAAGAGACAATTCGCTGATTTCAGCAGGGGGTGGGAGAGCTCAGTCTAGGGGCGCCTCGAGCCACTGAGTTCCTCACGCTGGAAGCCCCCGGGCGGCACCCTCAGGGTCCGTACTACCCTAGGGGCAGTGCCGAAGGAAGGGCTCCATCCTCAACTTTGTCTGAGGAAACTGCTCCGCTGGCCTGAGGTTTGCCCAGTCTTGGCCGCACACCGGGTCCCAGGTTTGGATAGAACCAGGAACCGCGAACCCTTCAGCACGCACAGAGCAGCTGCGCCGGGCGCTCAGCCCCTCTCCCGCCGCCCGCCAACTTGAAGGCGTCTCTGTGGGCGCCCGCCCGCTCCTCCCGCC